CGCTCCGGCGGGGCAGCCACGCAGGCCGCCCGATTCCTCTATGTACAAGCGGCGAACCCAGGACAGGCCACCGAGGGCAGACGGACGGGGCGCGGTTTGCGGTTAGGACTCTGAACACCCTCCCCATCCCCGCGGGCTGTTGGAGATGGAAGGTCGGCAGGCGTGTCCCCCTCTGGGTCCCAGGACTGGACACGGACGCCCACGACAGTCCCCGAGTCCCGCCTGCGTCCCTGTCACTGGATGCCCTCCTCTTCCACGTAGGTCGAAGGAAACCAGCCGATCTGAAAAGAAAGAGACGGCGGATCACTAACAGTGCGTGCGTGTGCGTGTGCAAGTGTGTGTGTGCATGTGTGTGCACGTGCATGTGTGTGTGCGCGCACGCCATGCGTGCTGGGACAGGGCGAGAACGGGCTCGTGGAGGTGGGGGTCCTTCAAACGGCGATGCCAGCCTGGAGAAGAGGCTGAGAGCCGGGTGCAGCCCTGGCCCCGAGTAGGTGGGGCCCCGAAAGGCACGGCCCTGAGCCGTTCACGCCGAGCCCGCCCTCTCCAGCTGTCGCCAGGAAAATAAACATCGCCTCTGGGGGAAGAGCATTAGCCAGAGCCTCTCCTACGGCCACTTTCCTTTCATAACAAAATTGTTTTTATTGTTGTCAGAGAGGAAGGGAGGAGAGAGAGAAACATCAATGATGAGAGAGAATCATGGGTTGGCTGCCTCCTGCACGTCCCGCACTGAGGATCGAGCCCAAAACCTAGGCCTGTGCCCTGACCGGGAATCGAACCCTGACCTCCTCGTTCACGGGTTGATGCTCAACCACCGAGCTACACCGGCCGGTGTTAAAAAAGAGAGTGGAATGAAGACTGAGGATCGAGCCCAAAACCTAGGCCTGTGCCCTGACCTCCTCGTTCATGGGTTGATGCTCAACCACCGAGCTACACCAGCCGGTGTTAAAAAAGGGAGTGGAATGAAGATGTGTCCCCATCCAACAAAAACTAAGGACTTACAGATAGACTCGCACGGAGCACAGCCCAGGAGGAGGGAGTGCAGGCAGCGGGAACTGGTCTTGGGCAGAAATACGAGGACGCCGGGAGGACCCGGGAAAAGTGAATCTAAATGAGCACTGACTGCCTAAAGCAAGCCACGTGCTATGGGGTTAAAATATGTAGAATAAGATACATGCGGCCGGTGTGGCTCAGGGGTTGAGCGGTGACCCAGGAACCAGGAGGTCACAGTTCGATTCCCGGTCAGGGCACAGGCCCGGGTTGTGGGCTCCATCCCCAATAGGGGGCGTGCAGGAGGCAGCCGGTCC